TTCGGAAGTACCAACCCAACAGATTTCCAGCCTCAGATCAGTAATGAGGTTATGTTATTGGAATATGTAAATAATTGTGTGGCGTCGTGCTAGTTTTGCATTGTTTTTACTGATTTATTATTTACAAAAACTAATATTTATATAATATGTGTCAGAACGGTACCGCTGTTGTATCACTACAATTATGAGTGGAAAGGTGACATTTTTTAAATTTATTTGCTTCTTTGATTCATTGGTAGAACTGATTCATACGTCAAAAAACTTGACAAAGTCTGTAGCAGTGTAAAACCACACTGTTTACCAATAAATTCGTGAATTAATTGATGAAGAACTTCGTCAATTTATTGATGAATACATTGTCAATGTAAAATAGCTATAAGAGAGTTTGCAATTTATTAAATAACTTTTTAAATATTTATCAAATCCAAGACCACGACTTTGCCGCTGGAGGGATTCTAAGTAGGCTCCTTAACAGGAATGCCCACTCATTACTTTCTACGACCCAAGGAAAAGGAAAGAAAAAAGAAAATAAAAATATGATATGCGTAAAAAGGGGCCAAGATTTAAAAGGACCCTAGATGCGTGCAGCCCCCATGATGTACTTGAAAATTCAACCCCCGGCTTGAAACTAAATCATAAAGAAGTCGCGGCGCTTTCAAGTGTATTTGGTTTCCTTTATCCCTTCTTTTTAAATTGTGAAGGCACTTCCTTTATGAGAATCGCCAGCGGTAGCCTGTTAGACGTAGTAAATTTAATTCAATATAGAGAACAAAATTCTAATTCGCGGGAACTACGAAGAGGACGACATCTATTATGTTAGTATAAAATCACTCATAAGGAGTCGTTTAATTTTCGGATGTCGCGTAAATCCAGAAAACTTTATTTTTGCAGCCCAGCTTTAAATACAGTGACCTCTTGGACTAAAGGTCTTGATTTGCACAATTATAATGTATGTTCAAATCAGTGGCGGCTCGTGACGTTATAGTGCTACAACACAAGAATTTTTAAAACAGAGTATGTAGGTACTCCAAAAATGTTTTGTTTCCGAGACACAGGTTTTAAATGTTCATAAAAAAACAGTTTTTGTTTGCATCTTCCAAACAGGATGACTGTTAAATACATATTTAACATGTATCAGCAGTAAATCGCGACATAATTAATTGAAAAGCGGCTACACTAAAAGAAATGCGCTTTATTGTTTATTAAAATTCTAAACTGCATTATAAGAACATTTTATACTATACCTATGTGACATAAATGTACGGGTACATAAATAGATGAATATTGGATGTAAAATATCTACTACTATAGTGACTATAAACTATATTCTTTATTAAATTATATTGAATATTGATTGTTATTAGAATGTCTAGTACTAAATATAAATTTTATAATAATAAATGTATTAAACTGTTGTATACTCTGTATGAGTTAAAAACATATGTCATTAAGTTTTCAGAAATTTTATTGGATAACTGTAATTACAAGCTAAGGTTCTAATGTAAACATACATAAAACATACTTTTAAGCATTAA